CTTATGAGAAAACAAATGGGAGGATTCTTCTGGACAACTGTTGGTGTGAGACAAGGATGTGTACTTTCCCCCACATTGTTCAACCTATTTTTAGAGAGAATCATGCAAGAAACCCTGAATGACCATGATCCTTCAATCTCTATCAGTGATAGATCCATCTATAACCTATGTTTTGCAGATGACATTGACCTCATAGCAGGTAGTAATAGTGAGCTCCAGGACTTGACCAAAAAATAATTTGAAAAAACAGGAGCATATGGAATAGAGCTCAGCTCCAAGAAATCTAAAGTAATGATGACTAACACAGACAGTAACACCTGTGTTAACTTTACAATGAACAGGAATTCACTAGAGGAAGTGTCCAGTTTTAAATACTTAAGTGCAATCTTGTCTAAAGATGGTACCTGCAACTCAGAAATCTGCACATGGATTGCTGCAGCCATGTCAGTGATGGCTAAATTGGCAAGAATATTGAGAATCAAAATCATCTTTCAAGTGAAATACAGACTACAAATTAACAGCTGTATGAGAAAACTCCTTCACATCTTCTATTGGGAGCATAAATGAGTTTGTTAAAGGTTTTGTGGCCCATTAAGAACCTCTTCTCAAATGGATAAAAACGGCATGGTCTGGACATATTACAAGACACAGCAGCTTGTGCAAGACCATCATGCAAGGCAGCATTGAAGGTGGACATAAGAGAGGACGTCAATGCAAAAACTGGTTGAATAATGGACAAGTATGACTCGGCCAGAATTGCTGATGGTTGCTGTTGATAGTCCTTTCTAGAGGAGATTCAGTGCGGCTTCTGCATTTGGATCCCCACCCCCTTTGATTACAAAAGTCATGGGGATGACAAAAGGGCAAAATCAAAGAAAGGGGCATGTAACTCTGATGATGTAGATAACAATCATTTATTCACCAGATAGAGGTTTAATTTTTTTTTCTTTTTTCCTCATAATAATTCTTTGCAATCTCAATAAGTTTATCATACTCCAGAATTAAAAAAGCATGTATCTGCTCAGTCTTTACTGTCTATAGAATCTTTATTCAAACACAATTACTTCATAACATAGATTCCCTGTGTCTTTTCTATAAATATTTTCATGGTAATTGTTCTGGTAATCTTTTTTCTCTGGTACCTTGACTATGAATTTAAGCATACTACTAAATTGGTGGCAAGGTTCAATCATCTTACATTTAATTCGGCTAGATGTAACCATAAGTTCTATGCTAACAGCTTCTTCTCTTGCACTTTTTGCCTATGGAACACTCTTCCAGTTCCATGCTTCCCAGTCAACTTTGATCTTCAAAAGTTTAAATGCAATGTCAGTCATTATCTTACATCTTGTTTCAACAATATGGCCATAAAACCCAAAATGTATTATGGTCATTATTACAATATGTATAAAATGCAATATGTATCAATATATGTGCATACTTGTCATATATGTTTTGGGGTATGTAACACTTTTCACAGATATTACACTGATCCTAGACTGAAATGCTGGATTGATACTCTCATCCTAGACTTAAGTGCAAATTCATAGATAAACCAGCTCCTCATTTAGTCTATAAGTTTCAAATAAGGATGGTCCTTGTTGAGACTTACATGCATCACTTGCTCAAGACAATTTTTAACCATAGATCTGAGGAAGAAGTTATATACAGCGAACAATTTAGATATTTCTGTATGAATTTAGCATCCATTGGGTTTGTGTCAACTAGCTTCAAGTAGCTTTAATGTCACTTTTGCAGTATTTGTAATGTTTCTAAGTTATGTGTAAGTGTTTATACAGTAGATTAGTGTACTAAACAATAAACATAATAAACAAATTCAAAAGTCAGCTCTATATTCTGTACATTACTTCAGTTTGCATACTGTAAATTAAGTACAAGTAAATTTTTATTTGTTTTATTTTTTATTAAATTGTATCACTTATCTGTCTATATCTCTGAGATGAGGTATTATGATTATTTACATTATTTAGACTGTTATCCTATCTTCAGTGCCATATTCACACTTACAGAACCAGCACATATGCTAGGCCAAAAAAAACTCCTGAGCCAACCAAGCAAAAAAATAACTACAATATGGGAACCAGTAATAAGGAGGAGAAAATTTTGAAGAAAGAGGAATAAGGTGTGCTACTGAAAAGCAATGAATAACAACACAAAATTGCAATACAAGCTCTGGTAAAAAATATATATAATAATAATAACAGAAAAATTGCAATATGAGCACTGGTAAAAAAAAAAAAAACAACTGCTAAGGCATTAACTTTATAAGTCCCAGAGATTCATGCACAAATTCCTCAAGGACACATGACCCAGTGGATAAAGAGTTGTGAGTTCAATACAAGGCTACAGCAGTGTTGAACAAAAAAAGTTGGGGAGTTGAGTAAAAGGGAAATAACTGAGACATTCAGAAGAGGCACGGCATGTGGAACAATCCACAAAATAAAGGTTTGGTTTGAAATTCCAATCATCTGAAGAAGGCTGGAGCATACAATTGCTGAAACATTATGAATATGGCAATGAAGATGAGGATAACAGTCTGAATAATGTAAATAATTGTTTTATTTATTTGATTCATTTTGAAGAAAGAGAAAACAATCCCTATCAAATGTTTTATGCAACAAACAATGCCAACTGGGTGAATTTTTTGATTCATTGAGTGAGGAGTGGCTATATTTTATTCTATACAATGGATTAATGGAAGCCAATGTGGACATTTTTAAATTTTATTAAACTTGTTATATGGTGAATATATTTATCTAAACAAAATGCTGTTAACTGAATATTTTCACATGTTCATTTTAATGCAAACAATCACAGGAAGAGAAAAGATATACTTGTACATTTATGTTTAAACATGTGGATATATTTATTTACATGTGCTTGACAACCTCTTTTTTTTTCTTCTTTAATCATTTTGCCCCAAGCAAGGCTTTAATGTCATTAGAACACAGGAGGTTACAGGAATGAAAGAGAATGAGAAGACTTTAGTGGGGAGGATTGAATAAAGAACAAAAAAAAAGAACAGGGCTCAAGAAAACAAGATTTAGTTGCCAGCTCTAGTAGCACGGTTAAATTCATGTAGTCGCAGAAATGAGGAAAATATCATCAGAACAGTTGTCATGACACACACATATCTATCTACATATGAAGTGTGTATCCATACATATATTTTTATGTATATATAATACTTTTCTATATTACTATACAGAGATATCTTAAATTATTTTTAGTTTTTAGATAAATGGATAGTATTTTTGTAAGTGTATTGTACTTATAAAACAATAAAAACTTAAATTTTGCCGCTATAAGTAAACTCATGTGTGAGCTAACTGACCTGGTACTTCAGAGATCAACAAACATGGCATTGATTACAGAATTTTATTTATTTATCCTCTCTCATAGCTTCCCAGACATTATTGAACCAAATTATTTAGAATTCTTGATTTTATATTCCTCCAAGAATTTGGTACTCCTTGAAGAATTTGTCATATTTAATTCTGTGAATTTGCAGAAACTTAGCTGAAATTATTATACTTTTAAAAAATTTTTAAATCTTTTTTTTATATAGTTCCTCTTAATTTTGAAATATTTTGGTGAAAATTTACTTATGAAACTTGACTTGAATATAGAGTATCGTTTCTGATGGCCAGACAAAATTTTTCTTATAAATCATGTAAATAAAGAAATAATTCTATCTTTACATTAAAAGGCATAACAAGGGTATGTATTTTTTTTTATAGAAAAGAATAAATATTTGTCTGTAGTTTTGAGAAAAATTCTTTAACATATTCAGTAATATTTGGACAAAATTAAACTCCCTTTTCATATACTTGTTGCTGTTAACACAATGTTACAGCGATTCCATTCTTTTGCTCTCTTCAGGTGAATCTGTGAGATGAAAAAAAGAGAAACTTCTTTCTTCAAAGGTAAAAAAAAAGGCTGGAAATAGATCAACTAAAACATGTTAAGAGCAAATCTATGAAAAAAGGGTTCATTTGTCTATCATTGTCTATATGTAAAGTTTGTTGATTTATCAATTGTTTTAAAAATTTTAACTTCATATTGAATTATAGATTATAGATTGAGAAAGTGACTAGTAAGAATTAGGAAAACAATATAAACTCTGTTATTTTTTCTGCTCTTTTATGTTATCTTTAATGTTTTTTTGTTATTTAGGTGTTGTGGACATTAATAATTTTTTTGTATTGTTTTTTTTTTTTCTTATAATTAATAACATATGAAAATAAAAATGATTGTAGAAGGAATTTTCAGAAAATAAACATTATCACTTATTGGAAATAAATGATTTCCAGAAAACATTACTTATTTGAAGAAAATGATTTTCAGAAAATAAACATTATCACTTATTTGAAGAAAATTGTTATAACCTAGAAAAGGTTACTGAATGAGGAATAACCAAAACAAAGGTTGGAAATGAAATGGTAATCTTTATAACATCAACAAAATACAATACTCGCCAGCAGTGTGAAGTAGGTAAACCACTGCTAGTGGTGGACTACTTAGATGGCATATTACCCCCCCACCCATACTTAAATAGTGTCCAATGTATTTATGAGGATTGGTACATACCCATTAGTGTTCATAGGTACAGTATATAACAAATATGATTTTTCAGAAAATAAACATCATCACGTTTGAAAAAAAATGAATTAAATTTACATGAGTCAAGTTAGTCTTCATCTCATGCATTTTGAAAGAACTGATTTACTGAAAACCAGAAAACTATTTATACTGTATTGACATGGAAGAGTAGACATTACTGTTCTTGGTTAATTGTTAAGGAATAGGTACAATGATGTTGAGAGCTTCTATGTGTCATGGCTCTCCACTACTATCTATCCTTCATAGCTCAAAGCAATGTATGTCCTCTTAATATCCCTCCATTGCAATACAAACATTAGCTAAGTTGTTTGATATTTCCTCCTCTACCTCTTGCCTTCAGCTTACAGCTATATTATGTTAAAACACCAGTTCTTGAATGACCACCAAAGTTAAGCAACACTGAACCTGGTCAGTACCTAGATGGGTGAATGCCTGGGAATACCAGGTGCTGTAAGCTTAGATATGTAGTTAGTGTAATGGATAATGTCTCAGAATTGGTAATTAGAGAACCAAGTCTATTTTCCAGTCAGTTTTATTATATTCCCTTACACACTTTTGGGAAAGGTATGGATCCACCTTTTCTCTTCCAGCTATGGGTTAATTAGTAGAACTTGTATCAGTAAAGAATTATTTTATTAAAAATAGATTGCAATTTACAAAATATTTTATGGCTTTAAATAACCTGCAAAAGGTTAAGATGTAAAATACAAACCAATCAAACCCTCTTGCTTTTAATATGTCCTGTGAGGATTAAATTCTCCAAGCTTTTTTTTCTTATTATGTGTCCTAGAAATTTCAACTGTCTCTTTCTGATCATAAGTGCAAGTATCCTTTCCATTTCCTTTATAACTTCCTAATTGCTTACATATTCTGTCCATTGTATTTTCAGTGTTCTTTTGTTGAATTATATTTCAGCTTCCTCAACTCTACACTTCATACGTGAGGAAATTGTTCAGCATTCACTGCCAGAACATTGATATTACATAGCAGTTCAACACTCTTTTCTTTGTTTCTAACAATTTTCCTGTTTCTTAATCCTTTGTGCAATTTTTGGATGTATCTTCTGCGATTCCAGCATGCCTTCAGATTTCTGTGTCATATTTTCTATTATTTGTTATAACACTTTCAAGATTCTTAAATTACTGTAATTGGTTGATTTGGATATCTCCAATTAATAGCTTGCATCTTGGGCTGTCCCTTTTTTTCTAAGAAAGACAGCTAGATTTTTCCTTTATCTACGACTACAGAACCTATTTGCACAGAATCAACTTGCCGTTTCTTATTCTTCTTTCTTTTCTCACTATTGATTATCAATTATGTAAGGACAATAAAATCATCGTTTTCTATTAATTTCTTTTGAGCTTGTCAATGTCTGCACCAGGTTTGATTTTGGGAAAGTCCTATTATTTCTTTTTTTTAGGTATCTAAGCAGTTATGAAGCATAAAACACACAACATGCGTATCTATTAATCACTGGCCTACAAAGCAATTCTCACATCTTCCTTTCACTATAAATATTGAATTCAATAATTCATAATAAAACATTAAGCTGTTTGTTCTCTTCAAAATATAGGAAGATTCTTGCTATGATGTTTAAAAGAAAATTTGTTGCATTGAAGTGGCATTTGTAAGTTACTTTCCTTCTTTAAGTGCCATGCATGATTGATCATGTCTCTTTGATTCATGATTAACTTAGAAGAATTCCTGCAGTAGACTGGATGCCAATCAAGGCTATAGGACATAGTCTGTGCTGCTATTTAGCTAGTGAGAGAAGAGATGGATTCATTGCTTTCTCAAGGGTATTTGAATATAATTGAATATATAAAATGTAACTGAAATTCAAACTTGGATTTCTAATTTCTCATTCCTAGCCATTATCCATTAAACCCCTGCTCATCCAAGCTCACCTGGTATTCCCAAGTGATCACCCATCTAGATACCGATGTTGCTTAACTTTGATGATCAGAAAAAAACTGTTGTCTCAACATGATATGGCTGTATGCATAGGTTACTTTAGAGTATTTTATTTAAAAATTTATAAACTGGTATAATTTATTTATTTAGTCATCTTCATTTATGATAGTCAAGTACAAATTTAAGCAGAGGGAACAGTGAGTTTGAGTGAATGGATGGCAAAACAAGGACAAAAATGGTAAAAGGTCAAAAGCTACTTGGAGCAAAAAAAAAGGCAGAAAGTTATGGAAAACCGTGATCAGCTACATCCTGAAAGGCCAAGGCACATAAAAAAAGGTAGATATAAACAATATCCTTATTTGATTACATATTTATCTGTCAGAAAAATATTGCCATTTAAGCATTTTCAAGTTTACTCAAGTTAAAATCCCATCTACAAAAGTGTATAGTTGCAGATGAAATTTATATAGGAAATGAATGGTTTTAGCATTTTTCTCTTACTTTCATAAGTCTTTTGCCTTTGACAAATTTTGCCATTTAGATATATTCAAGTTTATTCAAAACAGATTAGAAGTTTGGGAGCCCTTTCTACAAAAGAGCAGAGAAACTGATAGGAGTTCTATAGAAATTGTTTTCTTTCTGTTGATTTTTTTTTCATAGTTATTTTTCCAGTCACATTTTTATATATTTCTCATTCATTCATATATATATATATATATATTGATCACAAAAGTAGTTTTGGGAAAATCACAAAATGTTCAGCTCTTCCTGTAGCGTTTATCAGTGTTTGATATTGAATAGTGTTTTTTTCCCCAATAGCATTTTTTGTAAACTCTTCATAAATTCATATTTTATATATACACACAAACACATATACATTGGAAAGTAACTTTACTCATGTTGTTTTACACCCAGTAGTTTCTCGTTTATTCAATTTATCACCACACTGAGATAACCACAAAGCTGGACAAATGTACTTCATTTTAAATTCCTCATTCTCCCCAGCTCCACACACTGTACACATTAATGGAAAGACCAAAAAAAGAATCTCATTTCAACTGCCAATGGTGGTGACTATTATGAACTTGCATTCCTGTCATCTAATTACTGTGTTTTTATGTATTTTCAATAGTTTTATTGTGAATGATCTTCAGCCACCTCTTAACTGATACTAGAGTAAATTGCACTTGGCCTGACTTTTTGATCAAACACATTTTTCCAACAAAAAACAAAATTGAAGAATCCAACCAAAGATAAAGAAACAACTGGTCTTGTATTCATGCTCAGAGTACCTTGGATGTTGGTAGCACAAGTTTTAATTAAAACTGCTGCTTCTTATCTTTTTGTACTCTTTTTGCTAAGTTCAACAGTTTTAGCTTCAAATATTTGTCTTTTAGTATTTCATAAAGGCAAAGGTTATCAAAGGGTAAAATCCTTGTTCACCTTCAAAGTATTTGTAGAAAAGAAACAGAATAGTTGACATTTCTTTTTGATTTTTTGAAATATCAATATTTTAGAGGATTATAAAATATTTGTTGTAAACTTCAAGAAGTTAATATTTTTATTGTTTACTTGAAAATTTTGCATATTTTGCTTCAAATTATAACATATATTAGGTGTGTGTGTATAATCTTCTTGAAGAAAACTGTTTTTTAACTGTGCGGTGAGATGTGCAGGTGGTGTGATGGATAACGTCTCTGAAAGTGAAATTGAAGGGATGAATTTGAATTTTAGCTTCATTACATTCAAATTTGTGCACAAATATCCTTAAGAAAAATATGAATTCATCTCTTTCCCCCAGCTGTGGGTTAAATAGTATATATAGTTAATAGTATATATCTGGAAAAATCATTGGTACTCTCAAAAAAAAATTCTTAATGCAATATTCACTTGCAAAAATAAAGAATTATTCTTACAATCTAAAATATGTTTTGGCTTTAAGTAAGCCATAAAAAACAAATCAATCAATTAACTGTGAGTTCAGTCAGTAGTTTTCATAAAAAAAAAGTATACTGTGAACTTTTGCACATAATCCTTTTCTGTACAATTACTGAAGTTAAGCAATGTCAAGCCTGGTCAGTACCTAGATGGGTGACTGCTTGGAAATACCAGGTGCTTGGATGAGCATGTGGTGTAATGGATAATGGCTTGGAATTGTTAATCAGAAAGCTGAGTTGCAATTCCCATTAGGTTTGTGATATTTATTCACTTATGTACAAAAGCCCTTTGGAAAGGTAAAAATCCACTTCTTTTAAGCTATCAGTTAATTATTAAGACTTTCCAGTTCTTACCAAGTTGTGTTTTATGGAGATTGGAGTTTTCTTGTAGCCAGCTTATATTGTTTTCCTTTTCTCTGCTACATTTTAAATAGATTCAGTAAAATACATTGATACATTTATGAAATGTAATAGTAGAGTAATTACTATTAAATTTACCTTTTATTTTCCAAGTTAGTGCGGCACATGGCTATAGTCGAGGAGCAATCATATGATAAAACTCAAACCCTCATGGATCAAGCTTGCTATCCATCATACTATGGTATGTACTACCTAAACCAGCACTATCTTCCTCTTTAGTCAATGGGTTTTATAATCTGACATTATTTGTTATTATTATAAACATTATATTTAGTGAATATACATGTTTGAATAGACATTCCTTTTAAAAAAAAACAAAAAACAGTGAAATTCATGTCTACGAGACTAGAGATGAAAAGTTTTCCTAAAATAAATATCAGGAGGCATGTTTTCTTTAGTAAGATTTTCATTATCTAGGCCAGTAGATATTTAATTTCACAGTTTAAAAAGCAATTTACATTGATGTCTACTCAAACTACCTACGAAATATAAAATTTATAGTAATAGCATGTAATTACTATACTGTATCTTTGTATCCCATCAGGGTTATAGAAATAGTTTTCCTGATGAAAAAGTGATACATGTTCGAATATTCCTGTTGGAAAACAATTTTCTTTCATAGGATTTCTCAATCTAGGCTAGTTGTTAATAACATTTACGTTGATATCAGATAATCACAGATTAGTATGAGTAAAGATGGTTCACTAAGCTGTGCTAGATAAATCCATCGTGCACATTTATAAATATACCATTCATATGTGCATTGAATATTGTCACCACATCTGGTCTAGTGCTTTTGCTATGTATCTAGAAATTCTTGATAAAATCCAAAGAAGAATCTGCAATGTTATTGGTCCTGGTCTGGTATCTTAGTTTTAGTCACTTTTCACTGCTGTAACATAATATACCTGTGCCTTTTATATGAATATTTTCATAGTAATTGTTCGGATGAGCTTTCCTCTTTCATACAACAACTTTACAAATTTACGTCCAGTATTCATTTTACAATTGAAATTGCTCAATGCAACCGTAAGTTCTATGCTAACAGTTTCTTCTTTCACACTTCTTGCTTGTGGAATTCACTTCTGGCTTCTTGCTTTTCCATCAACTTTGATCTTCAAAAATGCAATGTCAGTCATTGTTTTCTGTTTTCTTAATTGCTGTTCTTTTATTGTTCTCATTCC